GGGTATGTTTACCCTCAATTGTGGTGTGGAATTTTGGTTCATAGCAGGCTCAAGTTTGGCAATTGTCCTTGGTTATTGGAAGTCTGGATGTTGGGGCAACATTGTTCACCTTTCCATGTGTGACTTTGATCTATGTAGAATCTAATTTTTTTTGGTATGTTATGTCGGTAGTATTTGTAGTGGTATTGATCCAACTAAAGTTTAGGCAACATTTCTAGATCACTTTGGACGTTTTCTCGAGCTAGTTACGTATTTGTGGAATCTTTTCAGTTTCAATCAAGGTGTGTGATCTTGTATCGATCGTTCATGATGATGTTCTCGTTAACGGTTGAGGTTCGTCATTTCGTTAAATCTATTGGTACTTCACCCTTTGGGTAAGGTTGTGAGGATGAAGGAGTGCAGTAGATCCAGGTTTAGTTATGTGTTGTCGTTGGGGGTGTACATTGTGGTAGTGCCTCGATTATGGTCATGAAGGGTGCAAGTGGTCTAAGCAAGATAGCATGAGACCGCTTGGTTAGTATTATCAGCATGATTAACATGTGGTTTATAGCCTTTGAATCGGAGCAAGCGTGTGACCGTCTATCTCATCCTCTAGTTGTGTGCGACCATGTTTTCGTCTAGTTTTACGTTGATATCAGTCTGTGTTGTGAACAGAATTGTGTGTGATAGAAGAGTATGGCCCATGTTGTATTCGAATAGCATTGAGAGGGATGTTGTTTGGGTTCCTGCAAGTCGGTGGACTGATGTTTGGGTATCTTTAGGCCCATGTGGTGCTGGTTGCGAATCTTTAGGCTATGGATGTGATGACGGCAAGACCGGTTTAGTACATATGTATCGTGAACCAATGGATGTATGATTTATATGGGTAAGACCCGATAGTATTTTGATTGAGACTCTTAGGTCTCGGATCGTTACCTTTCTTGGCTTATTTGGGTGTTAGTGCATTGTGGGAGTTGGGAGATTTGGTGACCAACTGGTTTGGATCATGTAGGCAATTAAAGGTTATTAGGAATAATAGTTATGCACCAATAGCCGCTTGCAGAGTGTTTGCATTATGAACTTTGGTTGCTTGAGGGCTGTCTATCAGGAGTTCGGTTACCAATGTTAGGCATCAATTATGGAATCTCGAGTCATGAAGTTCATTGTGAATGTCTCGAGCGATTTTTAGGTGGGGGTAAACTTGAGATGACATGAGATTTGGATGCAGCGTGAGAATTTTTTGATTGACCATCCTTATGCTCGTGGGATAAGCAGGTTAGTGATGACTTGTCAGGAAGTCAAGCGCGTATTTGAGGTTGTTAAGCACAACTTCCAAATTGGGGATTTGGTGTAATTCACTATCGGTATATTTTGAGCATTCCTTCTGCATAGTAGAATGGTATTTCTAGTCAGGGACTAGGGGGTGGGTACGATGAATCAATGATTAATAGTACTAGGGAATAATCTTCTAGGGTTTAAATTGATGGGTTCATGTTTTCGGGAAGTTTCCTGCTTTGAGTGGTTATCGTTGTGTTATGAGGTCTTCCAGTTGGCAAGAGTAAGGTAGTTGTTTCAATTCTCAGGCAGGGCAGTTGGGCTTCCTTCTTTGGGATGAAGGCAGAGTGTTAAGGTTTATTCTTTTGAAGGTATAAGCAATTTCTGCCAAGACGGGACTTGGATGGTAAGTTTGGGAGGCGGTCGTTGGTATGGAATGATTCTTCAGTCTTAATCGGGATTCAGGAAGTTTGGGCAAGATCAACTAGCATGGCAGATGAAATAGTAAGGAATGATTTCGAGGATGAAATCTAATTTAAGTGGGGGAGAGTTGTAACACCCTGTTTCGAATCGTTTCATAATTCGGGGCCGTGACCCGAAGACAATGGTTCAAAACATGACTTGTCCAAAATATTTATAGTCTTCTGTGATTTACCCACATGATGGGGTTCAACACGAGGCTCCTAACTGGGGACCCACCCAAAGTATCCTGAACAATATACCCTTTCATCCAGATAATATGATAACTGGATGACCGAATAATAGATAACCGGATACTATCCGGAAAGCATTCAAAATAACACTATCCGAACAAATGCCTATATCAACTACTCATAAAGCACAATTATGGGGAAAGTGACTCACGTGATTCGCTAGGATAAATATCCCATATAAAACACATTAAAAGTACAAAGCATCATGAACCATGCCCAATAAAACAAGGCTAGCCGGTAACCATGGTACATTCTACATGAACAACCCATCTAATGAATCCTTCCCAATATAGACCGAAAGAGAGAAACACACAAGGTAAGAAATAAGTTGAGGAAAATTATTCTCTCTTATCCACATAATACTTAGACCTCTTGACAAAACGTAGGTATTATCATGGTTCTAAAAAGTTCGTCATGACTCCAAAAAGTTCGTCATGACTCCAAAACTGTGACACCACAACTTAACAAAACATTGCCTTCAGTCGTATATGTATATAAGAATTAATAATAGTAGAAAATACATATAAAATTATTAATTATATAAAAAAATCACCGTCTTAAATCATGTCTTAATAAACGCCGTGACTCGTCACGGCTCATAAAGCTTGAAGTTTGACATTTTCGTCACATCACACCTCACACTATTTAGAACATTGTGTATCATAGAGCATTACTAAGAGCACTCTCGACACTACTCCTAACCATTTTTATGTGATCCACATGGACTATGATGATCTTCGACATCACCTTGATACAAGAATCTGACAAGCTAGGTGGACGATCGACGTAGCATCACCTACCAAAGGATGCAATTTATCCTTTTATTTTTATTTTTATTTTTTTAATTTTTTTATAAGAAGATGGATACTTGATGCCATTCTAACATACAAAAGTCAACCAAATAAAAGACTCGACAAAAACATGTTAAAACGAAAGCAACAATGATTCAAAACGATTAAAAGAGCAATTGAAAGAGCAACAAACATATAATCAGAGGAATTAAATTACGAAGCATTTTTAGATAAGTGAATGCTTCACTTGTCTAAGAAAAAAAGATATTTTCTTTAGACATACATTCTAACGTTACAACACATCTATTAACAATACATCAAATTTAGCAATTCATTCTTGTTGTCTGAAAAAGACATTACATATTAAAATATTAAATTATTGGATAACATTGGTCTAATTGATGTAGTTGATTTTGACATATTTAGATTATTTGACGAGGAACATTTATATGTATGAAAGACAAAAATAAAATAAAAAAAATAAAATGACAGTTTGGCAGGGATGAATGGGAAGAAGTGTGAGGACTAAGATACACGGAATGGAAGCTGCCCCAAAATCACTCTTCTTATTCTATTCCGATTCCTAACATCACGTGGTATCGCGCTGTCTTTCCGACTTTTTTCTTTCATTGCCTTTCAACTAATAAATCATGGATATAAAACTTTTTGCTAAACAATAATGATAATTGATATTGTAATAGATGTTTGACCAATAAATACCATCAAGAAACTCCATGATAGTAACTTGGATTAAATGTTATATAAATTAAAGACTAACTAAAAGATATCAATGTTGATAACTAATTAGTTTTTTAAATAAAAGTATATTAATGTTATTTATCTTTATTACAACATTGCATGTATACGAACCGAGTTCTTGTGAGCTACTCGGGATTGACTCATAAAAAGCTTGACTTGAGCTCGAGCCTAGTTTCAGGCCCATTTATTAAATAAACTTGAGCTCGAGCCTCATTTGATGAGTTCGATTACGCTTGCGAGCCTAAACAAGCCTATGCATATTTATACAATATAAATTTTATTTTCAATTTCATATATTAAATTATAATTAAGTAATTGGATATTAAATATTAAATAATGATAAACGAGCTTTTTAACGAGCTTGATATTTGACTATTAACCGTGGCGAGCTCGAGTCGAGCTTACGATCGTTTAAGCTCGCCTGACAAACGAGTCGAGCCCGAACGAAATTCAAGCATTTTAAATTATCAATGAGTCGAGCTTGAGCTTTAAAAATTAAGCTCGAAACGAACCGAGCTCGAACTCAAGCCCCATGAATTTTAAAACGAGTCGAGTCCGAGCCTACCTGAGCTCGAGATCTGTTCGGCTCGTTTATACCCCTAATTGAAAATCTATATTTTTTAGTTTCATAACATTGTATTTAAAAAAGAAACAAATGTGTTCATTATATTTCCAAAATTTTCTGCTAGAGAAATATACTTCAAATAAATGTATTTTAATTATAACATTGATAATTATTTTACATTTGGATAATATCGTGATAGTTATAACTTTTTTTTAAACACAATACTCAAACAAAAATAGAATATTATACCTTGATTAATATACGAATACTTTTTGTACTTAATTCTATTAGATACTTTTATCACAACAACAAATTTCTACAAACAACTTAACCAAATTTAAATAGATGTGACAAAATGTTATAACATATAATAAAACTAGAGGTTTCATTTGATGACACGATATGAAAAAAATACGACACGAAATGAAATTAAGATGAATTCGAAATTCGAATTTGTGTTCGTGTAATTATGTTAGTTGTAAAAAAACACAATGTTGTGTCATATTCAAAACTCGATAAGAAATTGATACGCTTTAACATGTGTTTTTCGTGTTTTCGTCTTATATATGATTAAGTATGAATTAAATAAACTAATAACTGCATTATGTTATCTTTGTCGTGTTTGTTATGTTTTTATCAATTCATTTTCGTGTTAATGAAAATAATCATAATATCATGTTCTGTCGTGTTCGTATTACATAAAACCTTGTCATATGTGTTGTTTCAGACAAAAACACAATACAAATGTCCGATTTAACACTCTAAATAAAACCACGATAACAATTTATGTTTATAAAAGTAATAATTATTCCCGGGGAAATGCTCAGGGGCAAAACTGTAAAAAGCGAAACGGACAGGGAGAGCCGTTGAAGGGTAATTAGACGCTTTTAATGCCACTCACACCCGCACACAAACCATATGGGCTGCTTTGCAGTGAATGCCAAGGAACACACAACCCACAAGGAAGCCAAAATGGTAGTAATTTATTTTGTAGACAAAAAGGTAAATATGTTTTTATTGATTTGTTTTATAAACACTACATAAAAAATATTATATTCAGTAAGGTTTTATAAATTTCCTATGCAGAACATTGTTATATTTACATGTTATGGCTGTTTAAGGTGGTTACCAAGTTTAATGTAAGATTGGACATTGAATTATAATAATAAATATTTTATTAAATCCATTAAATTTTGATAAATTTTTAATTATTATCATTTTCAACCTCCTGTTATATGTTAAAATATTTGAGATAGAAAAAAGTGTTCGGAACGAAATGAAAATAAACCTATAAAATTTGATCAATATATACCGATTTTAGTACATTTTGTCCATTTATTTGTTATAAACTTTTATTTATATTTATTTATATTTTAGATTAAAGTAAAATTTTATTATAAATCTAATTAGATATTTTAAAATACGATGTTTGTAAAATATAACTTATTGATAAGAAATAATTAGAAAAACAAACGACAAATACATAAAATGTACTTTTATTAGTATTTTTTTTCCAAAGGAAAATAAAAATAAAAAAGAAGAGAAAGAAAGGAAGGAAGGAAGAAAGAAGACTCTGAAAGGAAATGTAACTCAAGTCTACTTACAGGTTGTTGTTGGTGCTGTCGTTACAGTTTAGCTTCTCTCTCCCCACCCCCACCCCCACCCTTTTGCTGCACTCCACATTACCACCACTCATCTCTCTCTCTCTCTCTCTCTCATCGCATCTCATCTCATATTTGTAAGCTGAACAACTGATTTGGTGAATACCATTGCTGTGAAATTACTTTCTCATTCTCTCAATCTGTAGCTGTTTGCAGAAATCTACTTCCACTGTTGCCTTAATGTGATGGAAACAGCGGCTTCCGCCACGACTATGGAGGATTGTTGTGTCAAAGTAGCAGTACACATAAGGCCTCTAATCGGAGATGAAAAGCTTCAAGCGTGTAAGGATTGTGTCGCTGTCGTCCCTGGGAAACCTCAGGTTAAGGAATTGCCCACTCACTCATCTCCTAATCGTCTCTTCTTTCGCTGATTGCTGATTCCCTAATTTGGTTTAAGTTTTTGGTGGCATTGATTGGTCTAAGAGATAAATGAATCTGAGTTATGAGAGATCCAGTAGATCTCAAATGTGAAGTACCACAATTACTATCACTTCTACCACTACGATTACGCATCGAATTTCTCTTTATTTTAACTTATTTGGGGGAAATCTGAAGAGCCATCCAAGATGCATGTTTATGACTGTGATAGTATTGTTCGTGATCTGAGAACTAACTTAACTTTTAGTTGTGATGGTGCTTTCTGGAAGTGTTTTTTTGTCATTAATTGGGAAATTGCATGCGCAATTAAGATTTATTGCAGATTAACAATCATCACACATTTCTTCACACTAAATACCAAGTTTGGTAAAGGTTTATAGGTAACCCATGGTAGGGGTGTTTTCTAGCTTTTTGGTCTTCATGGTTTCCAACACAAAGTGATCGATTTTAATGTGTTTATTAATGTATTAGCCGACTCATTAGTCAAAGACATAACATGAGTATGCAAATCATGAACACTTTTGTGTTGGTGTGTTGATTTATACTCTCTGATCATTTGCTATTAACCTGTAATTTCTTTTTCTTTTTTTACCAATTTACCAGCTTTTGTCTTCTCTCTTCTGGTAAACTATCTGAATCATTCAGCAAAACGAGATAATGAAGTCTGATAAACCTAATAGAGTTATACATCGTTTATGGACGTCTTAAAAGAGCCTCTTTTCATAGCTGTTCTATTTTGGTAGTTTGAGGTTGAAAATTCTTTGATTCATATATAGTTTTGGCCCTTCTTCAGACTTTTACATGAAAAAGTTTCTCTGTGATTAGTATCTTCCCTAGAAAGGAAAGGGGCTACCAAATCAAAATCATTTATCTATTTGTGGAACTTTGTTATAGATTTTAGAAAGCAAAATCTCTAAATGTTATAATCACATCTAAAAGGTCTGAAATAGTACTTAAGATTGTAATTTACTTTTTAATATATAAATATCTAAATCATTGATTACATTACAGGTGCAACTTGGTACACATTCTTTTACTTTTGATCATGTGTATGGAAGCACTGGAACCCCATCATCTGCCATGTTTGAAGAGTGTGTTTCTCCTCTTGTTGATGGTTTATTTCAAGGATATAATGCTACTGTTTTAGCTTATGGCCAGGTATTTTTTTATTTTAAACAATGGAGATATATTCATATTCTATATTTTTTTATGATGATATTTAACAATTAAAGTTTCACAGACTGGTTCAGGAAAGACATACACCATGGGTTCTGGATGCAAAGATGGTGCCCAAACAGGGCTTATTCCTCAAGCTATGAGTGCTTTATTCAACAAGATTGAAAGTTTAAAGCATCAAATAGAATTCCAGTTGCATGTCTCTTTCATTGAGGTATGCTCTATTGCTCTCCTCTCCTTATGTCAATTTACTTTAATACCCTTCAATCAATGTTTTAATGAAATATTCTCATGTGAAGATTCTAAAAGAAGAAGTAAGGGACTTGCTGGATCCCAATTCCAGTAATAAATCAGAGTCACCAAATGGGCAAAATGGGAAAGTAAATATTCCAGGGAAGCCACCAATACAAATTCGTGAAACTTCAAATGGTGTCATAACACTTGCAGGGTCAACTGAATGTGGTGTTCAAACCCTAAAAGAAATGGCTGATTGTCTGGAACATGGATCTTTAAGCAGGGCAACAGGGAGTACAAACATGAATAACCAATCAAGGTTTATAATCTTAACATCATGCATGTTATTTTCAATGACGAGGATGAGGGGTATTTATGTCTTTTGCACATATGAGAGATTGAGATCGAATCCCTGTCCTACCTTGTTTGGGACAAAAAAGTAATTTTGTCCCATTGACATCAGTTGAATAACCAATCAAGGTTAACATCATGCATGCTATTTTCAATGATGAGGATGAGGGGTATTTATGTCTTTTTCACATACGAAAGATCGAGAGCGAGTCCTTGTCCCACCTTGGTTAGGACAAAAAAGTAATTTTGTCCCATTGACATCAATTTGTGTCGAATAACCAATCAAGTTTTATAATCTTAACATCAAGCATGCTATTTTCAATGATGAGGATGAGGGGTATTTATGTCATTTGCACATATGAAAGATCAAGAGCTAGTCCCTGCCCCAACTTGTTTGGGACAAAAAAAGTAATCTCCCATTAACACCAGACAGTCTCAGTCTCAATCTAATGCATGCCAAACACAGTACAACCTGTTCTGTCCTGTATATTTATTTATGTGTGGTCACCTTTTATATGTAGTCAAGAGTGATGAGGGGTATTTATGTCTTTTGCACATAATAGAGATCGAGAGCGAGTCCATGTCCCACCTTGTTTGGGACAAAAAAAGTAATCTTGTCCCATTGACACGAGTCTGACAGTCTCAGTCTAATGCATGTCAAACACAGTACAACCTGTTCTGTCCAGTCCTATCCTGTATATCCATTTATGTGTGCTCACTTTTTGTATGCAGTCGTTCACATGCCATTTTCACAATAACGGTTGAACAAATACGAAAAGCCGATTCAAATTCAAATGACTCCATGGGTGATGAATATTTATGTGCAAAGTTGCATTTAGTTGATCTTGCTGGATCAGAAAGAGCTAAAAGAACAGGTTCAGATGGAATGAGGTTCAAAGAAGGAGTTCATATCAACAAAGGTCTTCTTGCACTTGGAAATGTCATAAGTGCCCTTGGTGATGAGAAGAAACGAAAAGAAGGTGCTCATGTTCCCTACAGAGATAGTAAACTCACTCGTCTCTTACAAGATTCACTTGGTGGAAACAGTAGAACCGTTATGATTGGTAACTTTTTATAATTTATATATCCTATAATCATATACTTTTATATTTCCAAAAACATAAATTTATAAATTTATAAATTTCCAGCATGTGTTAGTCCTGCTGATATAAATGCTGAGGAAACTCTCAACACATTGAAGTATGCTAATCGCGCTCGAAATATCCAGAATAAGCCTGTGGTAAGTCATAACTGTATAATTACAGTTCAGTTTTTATTTTTGAAGGGTTTGACTAAAATAGGACCAATGTTTTGACTTTTGACTTTTGACTTTTGACCTTTGACCAGGTCAATAGGGATCCAATGTCCAGTGAAATGTTGAAGATGCGCCAACAATTAGAGTGTTTGCAGGCTGAACTTTGTGCTCGTGGTGGAGGTTCTTCGGTTGAATTACAAGTATGTCAACAAAAGGGTTAAATGCAAGAAATAGCAACATACTTTCATTGATTTGTTTATTATACTTTGAAAAATCTACATATTTATAGCAAATGTCATTCAAATACAAAGCAAGTTTCACTGCTATAACTGAATAAATTTTCAAAGTATAAGAAGAAAAAGTTGTAAGTCTTCAAAGAAATGGAAGTATGTTGCTACTTGGAATATAAGAAATTGTAATGTACTTTTGTTTATTTGATCATTAATTTTTTTTAACTTGATTTAGGTACTAAGGGAAAGGATTGCTTGGCTTGAAGCTACTAATCAGGATCTTTGTAGGGAGCTTCATGTTTACAGAAGCCGAGGCATTGCCATTGATCACTCTGAAATGGATACTAAAGTATGCAATGCACTAAATAATAATTTTTCACTATATCAGTATAGTGATATATTAGATTCTTTTTTAGATTCTAATTTCTTTTTTAGATTCCATTTATTCCAAAAACGTTCTACTGTATTTTATATAAATTTGTGTAAATGTAACCTGATAACTACTTTTTGCAGGGTGATGATTCCTTTTGTTTGGAAAATGAAGGAATTAAACGAAGCTTACAAAGTAGTGTCGATTCATCTGATTATCAGATGAGTGAAAGTGGTATAAGTTTACCTTATTTGAAAGATCTAATAAATACAAGAAATGGCAACTTACTTTCATTTATTCGTTTATCACAGCATTCTACTTTCAAAACTTTTCTTATTTTCAAAAAAAATCTTCCCAATTATAGCATTGTACTTTCAGTTTTATTAGGAAAGAAATGAAAGTAGGATGCTATAAAGAAAGTATGTTGCTATTTCTTGCATTTAACACTATCTGAACTTTATCTCTTAGTTAATGGCATTCTTGTAATATTGAAATTAGGTGATTCTACTGGTATAGATGAAGAAGCAGCAAAAGAATGGGAGCACACTCTTCTACAAGACTCCATGGACAAAGAACTACATGAATTGAATAAACGCTTAGAACAAAAGGAGGTGTGTAAAATTTTCTATTTTTTATTTTTTATTTTTGTATCTACATTTGTTCTTATAAAATTAAATTTATTTATGCAGTCGGAGATGAAACTTTTTGGTGGATTTGATACAATGACCCTTAAGCAACATTTTGGAAAAAAAATAATGGAACTCGAGGATGAAAAAAGAGCAGTACAGGTAAAAATAAAAATACATAAAAGTAAATTCTATTCATTTTTTTTTTACAATTTTTGGTAATTTAATATTAACATTTACTTGTTACTTCACTTATGAAGAAAGAGAGAGACAGGTTGCAGACTGAAATTGAAAATCTTTCAGCTACTTCAGATGGCCAAACACAAAAATTGCAAGATTTACATTCCCACAAGTTAAAATCACTCGAATCACAGGTATTTTTTTAATTTTTATTTTATTTTCATATCTTTGCTAATAAATAAATAAACATGTTTCTAATTGTATTAATTTTTTCACAGATTCTGGATCTGAAGAAGAAAAAAGATAGTCAAGTTCAAATCATGAAGCAAAAACAAAAGAGTGATGAGGCAGCAAAAAAGTTACAAGATGAGATACAATTCATCAAGGCACAAAAGGTTTAGTTTGTTTTTTTAATTATGTCATATTTATATATTGAGGTCAAATTTGGTATTAACTTATTTAAGGATGTAGGTTCAACTGCAACACAGAATAAAGCAAGAAGCTGAGCAATTCAGGCAGTGGAAAGCATCTCGTGAAAAAGAATTATTGCAGGCATGTTATTATTTGTCATGCATTTTCATACAAAATTATTTTGAGCTATAGGGTTAATCTAAAAAAAAAACCTTATATATATATATATATATATATATATATATATATATATATATATATATTCCGATCTTGCCCTTTTAGTTATTTTTTCCGAAAAAATTGTAAAATGTGAGGGTTTTTTCGAGAAAAACTAAAAAGGTTGAGGATTTTTTTTCGGAAAATAATACAAGGTTGAGGGCTTTTTCGTAAAAAACGAAAAAATACAAGGTCTTTTTCAGGCAAAAACTAAATTCGAGGTTTAATCCTGAAAAAACACAAAATATAAGGTTTTTTTAGATTAACACTGAGCGATATGCAAGAATAGATATAACAATGTACTTTTCATTTATTTGTGTATTATGGCATCCTACTCTCATTTATACTTATTGCACCATTCTACTTTCAAAAAAAAATTACTAATGCAATTAACATTGGAAAATCTAACCAATTATAGCATTGTATTTCCAATTTTTTCTTATAAGGAAATCATACTTTGAAAAATCTGCCTACTTATACTTATAGTAGTCAATTGGGTAGAGTTTTCAAAGTACAATGTTGTAATAGGAAATTAGGAAGAAATAAAAGTAGGATGCTATAATATACAAATCAATGAAAGTACATTACTATTTCTTGAATTTGACTATTTGAACCAATCATTTATCCCATATGATTTTTATAGTTTTGTTTGTCCATTTCTTGATATTAATGCAGCTTAAAAAAGAAGGGAGGAGGAATGAATATGAAAGGCACAAACTGCAAGCTCTAAATCAACGCCAGAAAATGGTTAGAATTAGATTCTTTTAACTGTTTAATTATTCATGTTTATTTAACCTCATGAAAACTGTTAACTTTTCTACCCAATTATAGAATTGTATTTTAAAACATAGTCTATTATTGGCTATGTTTTTTATGGCATTATTATGCTATCAACTTTTAGGTTCTACAAAGAAAGACAGAAGAGGCTGCAATGGCGACCAAGAGGCTCAAAGAATTGCTAGAGGCCCGCAAGTCAACACGTGACAACTCAGGTTTGTGTTGTTAAATCATGAACCTTTACTCTCATTTAACCTTGCAAAAGGGTAAAATGGTCATTTAATTTAGTCTCATTCTGATTGAGAAAGTGTCTTTATCCATACAATGGTTGTCTTGCAGTGACTAGCAATGGAAATGGAACAAATGTACAGGTAAATGTCATTATTAAATTTCGGTATTTCCAGGGGCAAAAATGTAATTTTGATATTTTTTGTTTCAGAACAATGAGAAGTCATTGCAGCGGTGGCTTGATCATGAGTTGGAGGTGATGGTGAATGTTCATGAAGTTCGACATGAATATGAGAAACAAAGCCAAGTGTATGTATCTTTTTTTTTTTATTTATTTATTTATAAAAATAAGGTTGAAAGTACAATGCCTTAATGAGAAAGTTTGGTTATTTCCCAGGCGTGCTGCACTTGCGGAAGAGCTTGCTGTTCTTAGACAAGTTGAAGAATTTGCTGCAAAAGGAGTTAGTCCTCCAAAAGGAAAGAATGCTTTCTCTAGGTACAATTTTATTGTTTCTTTTTACCATTTAGAAAAAGGTTAAACCTACTTTCATTATTTTATGATTATTATTTATAATTATTATAATGATAGTTTAGTTTAGTGAATGGATGAATTAATTTGTGTAGGGCGTCATCTTTATCACCTGAAGCTAGAATGTCAAGAATATCTTCACTAGAGAGCATGTTAAGCATTTCATCAAATTCACTTGTGTTCATGGCTTCACAACTCTCTGAGGCAGAAGAAAGGGAACGTGCCTTTGCTAGCCGTGGACGTTGGAATCAGCTGCGATCAATGGCCGATGCTAAAAATCTGCTTCAGTATATGTTCAATTCTCTTGCAGATGCTAGGTAAAAACTAAACATTTATTATAGCATCCTACATTCTTTTCTACCCAGTCATAGCAAAATATCATTTACTAGTTACTGATTTTTGTCGTATTTTTAGGTGCCAATCATGGGAAAAGGATATTGACATGAAGGAAATGGAAGAACAGTTGCAAGAGCTTGTGGGTCTTCTTAGACAAAGTGAATTAAGAAGAAAAGAAGCCGAGAAGGAGCTAAAACTTAGGGAGCAGCAAACTGTCGCAACCGCATTGCCTTCATCTGCTTCTGTAAGACACAACTTTTCTCTTTTAACCTTTTTGATCTTTCTATTTTTCATCGTCACCAGTAACCAGTCAACAATAACACATTAACATAGTAACCAGCCAACAATAACACATTAACACCGTAACCACTCAATAATAACATATGAACATGGTAACCAATCAACAATAACAGCGACAGTGTTACTGTTATTGTTGATTGGTTACCATGTTCATGTGTTATTGTTGGCTGGTTACGATGTTAATGTGTTATTGTCGGCTGGTTACTGTGTTAATGTGTTATTGTTAGCTGGTTACTATGTTAATGTGTTATTATTAGCTGGTTACTGTAACACTATGCAGTAACCGGTAGACGGTAGACAGTAGACAGTAACGAGTAAGTCAGTAGAGAATACCCAATATTCGGTAGTTGGTAGTTAGTAGATAGTAACAAGTAGACAGTAGCAGTATAACATAAAACTTTTTGATTACTAACTACGGTATTGGAAACAGGGAAACGCCCACAATTCTCTAAAACACTTGGCTGATGACATGAGCGGACCATTATCTCCAAACTCTGTACCCGTACCAAAACAGCTGAAATACACAGCAGGCATAGCTAATGGTTCGGTCAGGGAGTCGGCCGCCTTCATAGACCAGAAACGAAAGGTTCACATAACATACATCCTTCCTTCCTTTTTATTTATTTATACTGAATTTATCTGATTAAAAATCTTAATTATGAGTACAACAGATGGTGCCCATTGGTCAGTTGTCTCTGAAGAAGCTGGCTCTGGTGGGCCACTCCTCCGGGAAACTATGGAGGTGGAAGAGGAGCCACCATCAATGGCTACTCCAATTCAAATGGAAATGGCAAAAACCATGGAGACTATCCGAGCTTATAAAACACAGCGATGAAACAATCATGAGAACAAAATCTCGCTCACATGCAATATCAGACGTCATTTATCATCATAGACATTAACAAATTTATATTATATTATATTGGTATTGTATATTCATTCATCTCCAATAACATGGAAATAAGTGGAGGGAAACGAACAAGGCTGGTGGGTGTTGTGTTGGAGATCGGTGGTTGTAGATGATGGATAGGTAAAGTTTACATAAAGTTGGGATGTGTGTGTTAGGATATGATGAAGATGAAATTAGTGTGTGGATGGATGGGTTTTTTCTAGTTTGATTTTTTTTTTTTTTTTTTTTTTTTTTTTTTTTTTTTGTATTTTGAAATTTATATATAAGTGTTGTAGTTATTGTATTGCTAATTTGTTTGTAGTGAATTGTATGAGTAATGAGTGCAATTAGTGGTTTTGTTGGAAATTAACTTGTGAACGTTTATTAACAATGGTAGAACATTTATAATGTTTGCCAACAATGTTGTCGTTTTAAATTTTTTATAAGATGACATGATGTTTGTGAGTGGTTTTGCAAAATGTTAGTATCCATTTGTGTTTCTTGTATTTCATTACGTGGTTCTTGAATTATGGTTATATATTTTGGCCTATGGAGGCGTGATGTATACGTGAGAAGTGTTTATGTTGAATCGTGGGCATTATTCTCGTTTTATCTGAAAAAGCTGTAATTCATTTCTAACAAGTCATATGGAAATTACTTTTCTTTCAAAACTCGATTCCAATCACACCCTAAACTAGACATGGTTAATCAAAACCGGCCATTTTCAGGTAGACCAACTTTCTTATCAGGTTTGAAAAAAACCATTTTATCTGTTTTGTTTTTTAAATTACTGTAAGAAATATAAAAATCAAGCAATTTATATACTCAACAATTACATATCCGTTTTTGGTAAATGATCATATTGCCCCTCTAGAATACGTATAAACAAGTTTTAATTGCAAGCTTGTCAAAATTGAGTTCTTTATATAGGATCGTTTTCTACGTTGCAAGATCGTGATCATCAATTCATCATAAGATTGAATCGGGATCATAAGATCCTACCAAAAATACTTTAAAACATAAAAAATACATTTTCGTCAAATACATTATTTAACAATAAACAATTTCTAAGGTTCATATTCAATGTCTTAGTTACTACATTGATAAAATACTAGAAATCTTTTTAAAAAGATAAATAGTAATGATCTTACGATTGATCTTATAATCCGATTATATGATCATACTCCAATCTTACCCAAAAACGACTCACATATGATCGGGTTCAGTTTACTTTTCGCAATTTTAACCTTGGTTAATTGTAACTATTTTACATCAAAGAAATTGAGCTCGACCGCTTCTTCCTCTCTTTTTTACTCGAGCTTTTGACTTTTCCTTCAGCGGTTCAGTTTTAGGTCTCGGTTCAGGTGCTTTTCATGATTGTGGTGTTTGATTGGGCACGGACGTTCTTGTCCTTACTTAGAGGTCAAGTTGCCACCTGTCTATCGAGGGGAATTTCCCAGCCTATCTGAGTATATGTTACCGAAGGCACAATGCTCTTACTTATCATAATCTCAACTATTTTCAAAATGATGATGACCTTGATTATTTGCTTACCAATTAAAAATGACATCCTCCTAATAGCAACCGCAGAAGACACAAAAATCTATATCGATGAAGATGTCGTGGCTATTATTTATCGTACTCTAAACCAAAAATTTGGGACCACTTCGATAGCAACTAAAGTATAAAATGTATTTGGTTTTTTTTTTTCTTTATATAATCAAATATAATACAATATGTATTTGATAAAGTTAAAGAACCGTTGGGAATTGATTTTCGGTATAAATTTCAATAAACATTAAACAAATCGGATTAAACCGAAGATTAGATGTGACAAAACTTACATAACATGTTAACACAATATAAAATTAAATAGATTTACATGTCACAACAGGGAAATTAAGCAGGTAATATTAGAACAAATTTAAACTAAAAAATGACATAATAATTTATATGTTTTTTTTTTCAATTTCTTTAGATAAATTGGATATGCTCATATGCCCAAAAAAAAACATATAAAATAAAAAGATTTGAGCTATTTCATTTCGAAAACCATCTATCTGTCTATGTCATTTTTTTTTCTTTCTATTTTTTACTTTTTCTTTTTCCTCACATACTTCACACACTCCCACTTGGCTATTTCCTCCTCCCAGTTTCCTCTCTCCCTTCCACTTTTCCAACTCATATGCTTTCCACATTGCCCTCTACGTTCTACGCATTTCGTCATTCCATGTGCCAAACTCCTGCTCCTTTTTCACTCTTTCCTTTTTTCTTACACGAACTCTTACTCTTTCAACACATTTTGTGTTTCAACATTGTACGACCCAACACATTTACAAAATCAAAAGTCTCAAACTGCTAACCTGACATGAACTCAGCATGAAATAAAAGGGGAGACACGATACGACAAAAATATTAAACGGGTATGGTTATGATGAATTTTTTTCAACTCATATTTCAACCCAACATGACACGACACGTTTTTCGGGACTACCAAAGACCGAATTTTTATCTAGTTTTGAGACGCCTCTCGTATGAGTATTAGAAAAAGTTTATCCTTTAAAATCATTTAACCGTTTTGAAGTTTTGATGTAGAATTTGGCCCCAAAACTTAAAACACAAGTTTTTGGTAAAATGAAATTTGGGCCTAAATGTAACGCACTGTTCCGAATTGACTCCTAGTCTGAGGTTGTGGCTCGAAGGTCGCTCAATGTAAGGATTATGGCTCTTGGGAAGGTAAGATCTAGACCCATTTGGGTGCGGGTGATGTATCAGAAGTGATCCGGGTGTTCGGTTCATGTTCTGGAAGCCTAGGGGTATTTCGGTAAAGTGGTAGTTCGAGCTTTTGTGTAAAAATGGATTTTTGTTCGGAAGGTCTTAAGAAAAGTTTGAGTTGTTAGAAGAGTAGGGCTTCTCGTCACCTTTCCGTGGATATAAGGATCGTTGAAAACGGGCTTATAACGAAGAAGTTATGGCTTTCGGAAGTTTCGTGGGTTTCAGGCTTAACCGAGTATGCGGGGCGTACACAAAGCGTACGCTGGGCGTACACAAAGCGTACGCTGGGCGTACTAGTAAAGAAGGCAGTACGCTGGGCGTACTGACCAGGATGGTCGCGAAAGTTCCCAGGAGTACGCTGGGCGTACCATATGTACGTTGGGCGTACTCCAATCAGATCAGAACCCTATTTTAGGGTCTTGGACCCTATTTAAGCTCCTTATCTCATAACCTAACCCTAACATCTCCAGCCTCCATCCCTCTAAACCCTAGAAATCGACACTTAGCCTCCATTTGAGTGATTCTTGAGCTTTTTGGTGATTTAGTGTGTTTTTGGGTGCTTATTGTGGAAGAAGGAGTTCCTTGAGGAAGCATTGCTTGGCTTGAAGCTTGTGGATCCAAGCCCTAATCATATTGATCTAACTCCAGGAAGTATAAAGTTTGGATCTTGGTGGCTTTCTCATGTGGATCAAGTTGGGTTATGATTTGTTATGTTTGGACCTTGAAGAAGAAGGAACTTGGTGATCAAGCTATGGTTGGAGTCAAGCTTCTAGATCCAGAACCTCCATCAACTTTGCAAGCTTTGGGAGGTATAAAGTCTCAACCTTGACAAATCTTTCATGTAGATCTAGCTAGTGGTTTTTGGCTATGGTTTTGGTCCCAAGAATGAAGCTTTATGGTTCAAATCCGATTCTTAGACTTGGGGTTGCCACCCTTGATGCCATTTGAGTCCCTAAGACAGAAAGTTGCCATCTTGAAGGTCTTAATGGGTTCAAGCATGAGTTAGGGTCACTTTTATGGAAGTATAATGCCATTTTTGGAGTTTGGGTTTGTTTGGGACATGCAAAGTCACCAAGTCAGTGACTTTATGGGTTTAGACGTTATGTATAGCTCAGATCTGTGTTTTGCACTTGTTGGATTAAGTATTAAGCACTTAATGGATTTTGTGCATGAGTTGTTTGTACGTTGGGCGTACGATGTAGTACGTTGCGCGTACAACCCATTTGCCTAGTACGCTAAACGTACAGAAGAGGTACGTTGGGCGTACGCTCTCAGGAGGATTTGGGCCTTAGTGGACTTCGGACCTTTAGGCCCTAATGGTTTTGGGCTTGGATTTTGCTGATAGTTGGGCCTGAATGTATCTTGGGCCAATATAGGAATAGTTGGGCCTATTGGGCCTTGTGGCCCAATATAGAAATGGACTTCACATTGTGCGCCTCGGTTTGGGCCAATTCTTGGACTAGGTTGTTATGGGCCTTCGTGGGCCAATTGGAAACAGGATTATAGACTAAGGAGAATATTGGGCTTTAGTATAAGGTCCATTAGAAAGGTCTGGGCCCAATTTGGAAAATTGGGCCATTGATGGTTTTATGGACATTTTAGTGTTGGGCTTTTGTTTTGGGTTTGGGCCTTAGTTTTGGATCATATTGGGTCAGGGGTAGAATGGTTATTTTACCCCATGAATGGATTAGGGATTATGGTATGGGCCCTAATTGCTAATTGGGTATATTGATTGGTAGTGACAGCTCGGGAAGCTGGCGGGGCAGCAGCTAAGGAATTCTTGCGGGAAGCTTCTGCAATGCGAGGTGAGTCTTCTCACCATACCAATGGGTCTAAGGCACCGAGGCCGGCCCATTTATTTAGTCGTGATGATTGTTGCGAATGTGCTATTGATACATTATGTATTTATGTAAAGACCATGCGGGGGTTCCCATGGCAAATAGTTATATATGCAATATGCTAGTTGATTGTGTGGTATTTGGTATGCTAGTTGTCTTTGTGATACTTGCATGGAAGACCTCGGGGGGGGGGGGGGGGGGGGGTTCCCGAGGCACTTAGGTGTAAGACCTTGGAAGGTCTCCTAGGCATCCTAGGTCAAATATCTCGGGGGGTTCCCGAGGCACTTAGGTGTAAGACCTTGGAGGGTTTCCTTGGCATCCTAGGTCAAAGACCTCGGGGGGTTCCCGAGGCATTGGGCTAAGACCATGTGGGGGTTCCCATGACACCCGGAGTAAGACCCTGGAGGGTTTCCAGGGCTTCCTTATATGATTATATGCATGGCTTATGTGGTAGAGATAGCTTTTACAGCTAATATGTTATGTGTTATGTGGATTGTGTGTGGGGTATGCTCTGGGGGACTCACTAAGTTTTGTGCTTACGGTTTACAGTTTTGGTTTCAGGTATCATCGATTTGGAAATCAAAAGCTCGGGTTGATCACAGTGCAC